CTCATTGGATGAGTAGTTGAGCATCCTCTCTCTATATTAAAGAGGTGAGAAAAGATGGAGCTGTAACATATTAAGCATATAATGAAAAAAAACCACACCAGTACAAATCATGATCAAGTTACAAAGTGATTCCAAATGAACTATAATAAAAAATGTTAAGGATTAACCTAAAGATTTACACTGTATGCCACATTATGCTGTGTCTATTGTGGTTTGTTGACATATGATTATGAAAGAAACGTAAACCCAGTCAGATGAGAAAGATAGACTCCATGTTAATTGAAAAAGACAAACTAAGTGAATAATGAGTATATAAAAAATAGCCTATGCCATTTTTATCACCCATATATGACACTTATTCCCAAATTTATGGCAGAGACAATTGAACTATGTTTCAAATCACTGGAGGTTATTTCTTACCAGGAGTCCCTCTGTGCATTTTTTTCACCTCACTGTTTCTAATCTTACTCCATTACTATAGAAACACATACATACTACCAAAGCTGTAAATACATGTCTACTTAAAAGATGTCTACTATAATCCCCCTGGTTTATTTTGTACAGATGGATTCTTCAGCAAGAACTGGAATTTGTTAAAGCCTTGGAAACATGGAAATAATACTTTTTAAAAAGAGTAGTTTTAAACAACAGTGTGCTTTTAAATTTGAATCAATCAATAAAGAAGAGCCACACTGTACCCAGAAGGCTTCTTCTATGACAGGCATGTAAGAGGAAAGTCCAGAAACAGCTGACATGGAAAATTAAAATGGACAGTTTGTTTTTTGGGGATTGGGGTAAATATAAACAGCACAGTCCAAAAATAAAAGGTAAGCAACTCCTGCACTAGATCCAATATCTTATAGATTTCTTGCCTTGCCCTTTTCTGCAAGCGATTTTCAAGATGCAACTAAACAAGTAGGTAAACAGTATGACTTTGAAGAAAAAAATAAGAGGAATCACACAGAAAAAAAGGTGTTCTGGACAATATAACTAAGCATTTAAACAAACTGAATAATATCTGGGTAGAAATGATCCTTAGGGCAAGAACATTGGTTTCTATTTAGGTTTGGAGTTTTGCTTAACAGAACAAGAAAAATTATATTAAGATGGGATATAAGGTTCCGTATAAACTAGAGAAAATTTTATCCCATTTTCACAGTAAAAGTATTTGTAACTTTCAAAATACAAATACAGAAGATTCAAACAAAAAATATTGCCACGTGTGAAAGGAAAATTGAACAAAAGACAAAGAAATATCACCCAAACTACAGTCACGTGATATGAACTGGGGAAAAAATATAAATGATACACATATCTAATGATCATGACACCATCAAAACCTGTGAAAAAATAATGAAGTCTTATCTCCAACTAAATCTTTGTTACTGAAAAAATCTCAAGAATTTTTTTTCTAGTCAAGTTGACTGAAGAAACCAGTCTGGTTTACATTACAGAAGAAATAATCCCTTGGGGGAAGAAGGAACCTTCAAACTCCTCCTCAGCTATGAACAAGCCAAAACTTACTAAGGAAAAATAGATGTGAGAAGGCCTCCAACAATCTATGCAACCAGCTACAGTTTGAGGGGACAAAAAAGAGAAACATTCCACTTTGCCAGACACCCACCAAAATATCACATAAACACAACAGACGATGCCTTTTCAAAAGAAGAAAAGGCAGAGCAGGGATGGGCTTCCTTCACTGAATTCCACTGTCTCAAGCATCATCCGCAAGTGCAGGGACTGTAAGTGCAGGTGGGGATTTAAGAAGTTACATACACTACCATACACCTCCGAGGTGTAAAGAGGGAGATAAGAGAGCAACAAACTTATTCTCTCCTCCTACCAGGAGTTTAACTCACGACCAGAGGACTCTGTTTCTGTCTCCAGTGTTTCCCCACTACCACTTGAACAAGTCAGAGAAGACAGGATGGGATTGTGCAATCCCAATAAACCTCTGCAATAAGTCTATTGCCACACTGACCTTTCCCCTTCAACTTTACAGAAACGGCTTCCTCCTGTTTCCTACTAATGCGGTTAGCCCTGAGCTCAAGCTGTGCTTCTGCCTGGAACATTTCAGCGCCACTGATATGCAACTATAATGACCCTGCCAGCATGTGTGACAGAATTTGTTTTTGTGTTAAAGATATAATATTGTTTAGGTTCAAAGCAAAGCACTCACAAGTCGGAAAATTTTCTGTGCAACTTTAATTCATCCCCTGGTGTGTTTATTCCCATTATCGCCATGTTTAACTACAGGAGCACTTAGTAGGTTTTCCAGTAGGATCCCTACATGTTCAGCATGGTGGGTGGACATACTCCAACCATCAATCAAGAGTAAGCAGGGATAAGGAAATCCATATGATCATTCCTCCACTTGTTGCAGAAGTTGGAAATCATAGGCAAAAAGGCCAAGAAGAGGAGGAAGAGCAGAAGAGCACAGTACTTAGGAGATTTTGCACCTGTGAGAGCCTCTGCTACGTGAACACCAGACTAAAATTCAGTGCTTGTCACTACCCATTAGCTGCACGTTCTTCACTGAACCTGATATGAAGAAGTGCCTGGCACTTGCAATGGCCACTAACATAGATATCCAACTCATTATTATCTGGAGAAACCAGCACAGCATGGAGGCAGGTGAATTTGAATTCTAATTCTGTTCCACCATTGATTATTTTTTGCGACCCCAATCACATCTTGTTTATTATACTAATTTTACCGATGGGAAAACAATATTCCCTCATCTCAAAGACGTGCTGGATCAATAACTGTAAGCCATTAAAATAATACATTAAGAAGCACCCTTGAAGAAGAGCATGCAGAAATTAATAACTATCTACTAACTGTGGTCTTTGTATGGTGTAATAGTTTCTTAATGAATAGTAAAGATATTACAGACCCTCCTTCCCTCCTCCATTACTATACATCCTCACTACAGGAATAGCTTGAGCCAAAAAAAAAGAAGAAAACTACATAAAAGACTGTGAGATCCTACACACCTCAGTGAAAGAACTGCTCATACAGTTTACAGGATTACTGGATTAAAGTTTACTGGATTACTCTCATTTCTAACTTTCATGCACTTGACTGATAACCTCAAAAAAGAGAGTTTAACAAAAACTGTAAAAAGTCATGCCATTATTTATTTTTCAAAAATAAGCAGGTTATGTAATTTTAACAGCATATAACCTTACAAGGTTAACCCTGAGGGTAACAATTTAAAGTTGCAAACTATTATTAGATGTAGTAATAATAAAACAAATATTTAAAGACCACTGGTAAATCATTCCATTGCCTTCTTAACTTCAGTTCTATAGACAGCACAAAAAGAAATGAGAAAAGCTAAAGCTTTACATACTCTACAAACATTAGATACCTGTGTATAACTTAGGCTACTGCTCATAGTGACTCTGAAAGTACATTACATCTTGAGGAAAAATAGGTGTTCTTTGTTTCACTTCAAAATACAAAGACTTCTGTGTCTCTCTTTCCATGGCAGACTGGATAAAGATGGGAAGAAGGAAGGAAGGACAGGTTGTGTACATGAGGTACCATGACTGAGGAAGAAATCATCATCTCAAATGATCCCATTTGCATCACATCCTTCCCCTCAAAAAAATTTTAAAGCACTTAAGGCATTGAAGAGTTTCAAGATGAGCTTCACTCAGTGAAATTAGCACCAAAACAAACATATATGCCCTCCATCTGACCATGAGTTCCAGAATTCAGTATTGCCACAGAAAATACTAAGATTTAGAAATGCTCTCTAAGGGTAATTATTTTTTCTGAAGGATTAAGAATCTATTCCATCATATGAAATCATGAGAAGCTTTCCCTTTTTTTTTTCTAGTGGCCTTCCATGCAAATTTTTAATACAGATGGTGTGATATGCAAGTGACATAGAAACTGCAGTTATAAAACACTTCAGACAGTTAGCAGAAGATGAGATGTGGTGAGAGCAATATGTTTCAAGCATTAGCTCTTTCAATCAAAGTGTTAAAAAAAATAATAGTCTGTAAAGTGATGAGTTGCACTAGACTCTGGCAGGTGCCCAGCCATGTAATTGAGCGCTTGGCCTCAGAAGGGAGATTTCAAAAAGCATGGGTAATTTGAATGGCAAAGTCAGAGCTACACAAGTTCCTGAGGCAGAAACAGAAGTTCTCAGAAGAGTCCCACTGAAATTAAAATGGCTTCAGGACACCAAACTTTTCGATAAAGATACCAGAAAAGCCAACTTTTAAGTATACTATTTATTTTAATTAACAACAACAAAAAAAATTGAATACTAGTTCTTTGAGAAAAAAGATAGCCACTCGCATTCGGAAGTCCGTACTAACATTATAACCTTTCACGGTAAGAAATCATCCCATCCCTACGCTCCAACGCATCCTGAGAGCACGGACAGCCACGGTCAGAGGTGTGTGACTGATGTGACAACACCCCAGCAATTCAGCAGCCCTTCCGTCCGCTCCTCAGCTGTTCGGCGGGGAAGTTCATTACTTTTTTTCGGCTGATGCGGGCAGCCTGCCCTGCCAGCACACCCGGGGGCAGAGACTTCCTCCGGATGGCTGCGCGGTCACCCGGCGGTCACACTCCCCGCACGCCAGTCCGCGGCAGCCCCCGAACGCCTCACCCCGGCTGGCGCCCGCAGCCCCGAACTGCCCGGCCGGGGAGCGGTGTCGGCTCCCGGCTTACGGGGGCCCGGCCCGCTCCTTCCTCCCCGCGGGGAAGCGAGCCGGAGCGCTGCGGCTCCCCACGGACGGGCACGGGCGGAGGAAGTAGCCGGGGAGGAGGAACTGGGGGGATGGGAAGGAGAGAGCCCCCGAACCCGTGCACTGGAAGCCATCGCCCGGTGCCCACCGAGGCGCGCTCCGCCGCGGCTCCAGGGGCTGCTGCGCCCGCACACCCCGGCTCCCCCGGCCCGTCACACCCCCACCGGCCCGCCCCCCTCGGCCCCCCCTTTGCCCGCCCCCCGGGAAGGAAGCCCTCCCTCCTGCCCTCACCTGCCAAGAGGCTGCAGACGTCCCCGGGGACGCGGGGAGCGTCGGACATGCTGCGGGCGGCGGGGGCGGCCGGGGACACCCGGCGGGCGGGGCTCGACGGCTCGCACCGGCCCGGGCCCGGCCCCGCGGGGAGGAAGCGGAGGCCACGCCCCCCTCCCGCGGCGGCACGGCCCCGAGCCCTGGGGGGCGGAGTCTAGCAGAATCGGGGCGTGGTTTCCCGCCACGAAGGCGGTGCTTCGGCGCGCTGGGGGCGGGGTTTCGCAGCACGGGGTGGAGCTTCACGGCGCGGGGGCGGGGCTTCCCGCCGGCTGGCTCCCCCCGCCCCTCAGTGCCGCGCTTGCGCTTCACGCCTCTCCCTCCGTGTTTATGGCTGCCGGCGGCCATGGTGTGTGAGGGCACCTCTGGCCCGCCCCCGCCAGAACCAAACGTGGCGCCCAGCGCCGGCTCCCTCCGAGCCTTCCGCCCCGAAGGGCTGGAGAAGTTGGCTATTGGATAAGAATGCCCCAGGCCTCTCTCTGATTGACCCATTGATTGTCCCGCCCACTAAGCCAGCGCCTGGCGTCCCCCTCTCCTCCCACAGGGGCGGGCCGGGCTGGGTCCGTGGATATGGAGGGTGGTGCTTTGGGGATTTAATTTTTTCCAGACGTCTTTCCGTCCTTTTTTCATTGCGCGGTGCCGACGTTGTCCCTGTCGACTTTCTGTCATTGCCAGTGTCAGGGTTTAGGATGGCAGACAGCCACAGCCTACAGCCCAGCCTCGTACCTGTGCCAACGTCCCAAAATCAAGCAAAATCAAGCCGTGGAACTCGAGGAAATCACTGAAGCAGTGGGAACAGGCCCGTTCATATCGGTGTCTGTTGGCACAGGTGTGTGAGCAGCGACAAAAAGAGATGCTGTTGCTAAGCAACACAGCTGGGCTGCTGGAAGGGCCAGCTTCGCTGGAGTGTTGCCTATGAGGCATCTTTTGTATGTTTTTCCCTCAAATCCCTAGTTGTATGTATTTGGAGCACATTGGTGATGTAATATATTTAGTGTAGAAATAGTCAAAGTAAACTCTTAACATGTGTTTCTGTCCTGGATGGTTTTGGCTCTATCTATGTTATTGCTGCAGAAAGTGTTTGTGTTAGAGCTGTGGTTATGTTAGCACATCTGTATATCATACCAGCATAGGAAAAACAACAATTAAAAGAAGGTCCATTCATGAAATTTCAGCTTTATACCATTGTAATTGCATTAATACTTGTGGCATAGCTGGCAGTATGGCTGTGGCAGTCAGGTATTAAACAATTTCCTACTTCTGCTTGGTGTAGCTGTGGCCACTAAGTCTGCAGTGTCGATGTGGTGTTAGATTATATTGTTCTCCTGACCTCTCACATCTATTTTAATCACATGGAGCAACTCATTTTAAATACATCTGTGTTTTCAAAGCATTGCAGCTTTATTACCTGACTTTATGGCCAGCCTGGCTGAAACTCAAGCAGTGAACTAATTGACCTGTATAATGTTGTGTAATGGTTTTTATGTTGGTTATCTAATTTCAATTCAACTATAATAAACATGCCCAGGCATCTGGGTGCATATGTGTATAAATAGATCATGCCTCTTTATTTGTATAAATACCTACTACTCATCTAGTACAAGAATATGTTTGATTAATTTTTCTGTAGTTGGCAAGGAAGGCTCTTCGGGCTTATGTTAAATTATACATTTCAGATGTGCAGTCTTGGGACGCTGCCACAAGGAATAAGAAAATGGCTTGTAGTCTAATTTGCTTGCCCTTTTTCAGGTTAATCATAATCCTGCTTTCTTGTGTTGACTTTATGGCACCATCAATTTCTGCTCCAGAAATGTCACTTGAACTCTGTTGTAGTCATTGTTTTGAGATCATTCTCCTGATAATTTATTCCATATGTTTACCATTTGTGTAAACTTTTCCTGCATTTCAGAATATAAGATGGGAAGAAGTAACTTACCTTTATTATTTCCCATCCCCCATGCTCCAGTCACTCTGGAGTCACTCTTTTTCTACTTACTTTTTGTGTTAAAGACCTCCTTGTTGCAGTGAAGACCAGCCCGTCTCACAGTCATCAAGATTTGTGACCCAGGCCTATTTTAAGCCTTGTTAAGTTCCAGATTTACTCATAGTTCCCTAATTTTTAAATCTACCACTAATAGGAAGCATAATTCAAAACACACTCCTTCCTGAAACAAGTCTGGCTTCAGTGCTGTTTCAGCCTGGTTTCTGAGGATTCCACAGCTTGTGCCTCATGGAAACCAGACACACCACTTGCCTAATCAGGCCCATGGATCAGGGGTTCTTGAAGCATGGGAAGCAAAGCAACAGGGAACACGCAGAAATTTATTGTCCTTCTGTGTGAGGAGAGCTACGAAAACAGGGAATTCAGGAGGAGTTGCCTACTTGGATCTGCAGAGAGCCCACAACAATGCAGCTGTGGGAAGAATAAACTTTCCCATTCAGGAGCAGCATCACTACTGCCTTGCCTTCCTGAAGAAATGTGACATATCTTGTTTACTGGGAAACCCAGCATTTTTCCCTTAAATGTTCCACGCTTCTGCAGCCGTGCTTTTAAAATTTAGATTCTAGGAGATGAATGAAACAGGACCTGTAGGCAGCTGCTCCTTGTTCTGTACATGTCCTTTAATAGAAAATTAATTGGATTACAGAGCATGCTCCCTGCCCTGATCCCTGCACTATTTCACACAGGCAGCAGCGGCCTCGTTGGTGATTCTCTGTGTTCTCATCTCTTGGCCCTGTTGGCTGTCTGTCTTCTTTTGCTGCACTCCAAACAAAACAGCTAGTCAATAGGCAGAATATTTATATTTTTTAATTATTTAATTACATTGAAATTGAAATCTTGGCAAAGATTTCTGGTATGCACATAGAGCTGTTAAATGGAAGGAGCACTGACTTTCTTTACAGAATTGCTTTCTTTATATGCACAAAAACCGTGTTTAAAAAAATCAGGAAATTATCTTATTGAGTGACAGTGCTCTAAACATGGCACCCCTGTATGCTTTTTGACTGCAGTTGCTGCACTGAAGAAAAGCAGAGGCTTTTTTTTGCGTCTAACAGTGGAAAAGCAGATCCAAACCCTTTTTTCTCTGGGAAAACATCATTAATGTTTTCCTAGGATTTGCTGCTACTATTCAAGTTTAAATTACTTCCTCAGGGGAAGATGCATTCAGGACATCACAACAGTTGCTTTGAGAATAAGTTTACTCATTAACTTTGAAGCATAAAGAAAAGTTAATACTTCATGTAACAACTCATTATGATTTTGTGTATCTTCTTCTATTCAGAATACATCTCCATGAAAGCTTCCTATTTTGCTGTCCTCTTACAGGCATTTCATGAAAAAGCAAAAACCTTGAGGCATTTAAATATTGTTTGCACAGTTGAGTTGCATTGACTGTACTATGTTAGAATGTGGAAACATGGCCTTGCATTTAGAATTCAGCCCATCAAACATGATCTGAACACACTCTTCAGTTTATGGGATCATCACAAATAGAACTAAAATGTGCTCAGCAACACTGTAAAAATTTTGAACACCAGGTGTGTGTTTCTTTGTTAGTTTGTATGCTGAAAAATTGCCACAGTGACTTTTTTTTTCTGCAGCTTGGAGGCTTGGGTGTCACTGTTAAGTGTTCTGAATTGTAAAACTGATGCACTTTGCTTTGTGAAGGCAACCTACCATTTATGGAGTACTTCCCAGGTCAATAGTGTCTTACTCTCAGTGTTATCCATTCTTATTTTACAATCTTGGTTTGAGTAATTCCCAACTCCCAGGTTTAAGAACACATCTCAAGAAATACAAGTCATTCCCTTCCATCTTCATGTTTCCCAGCTATACAACCACAGAAAGATGATGAACTGAAAAACTCTAAGAATTGTCCCCTAGATCATTTTCTATATGCCATATTGTAACTACCCATTCAGTATGCAGAGCTATTGGGTTTGATGCTGAAGTGTTCAGCTTTCCAAATATGGAGCAACAAGGCATAGCTTTTCATTTTTGTATTTGACTATTTTCCAGCAATGCTTAACTTTACCTAAGAATTACCTCTACAAAGACAGATTGCTGTTTCTGTTATCAAAACTGTAGGATAATTAATACAATTTTGAATTATGTTTTCTAAGCATTACACGGGGGAAACATTTTTGCATAAGAATTTTTTTACCTGAGCATCCATTAGATTTTATAGGATTGTGCATTATTTGATATTTTGTTAGACAAAAAAATATTCTGTGTCTCATCAAGTTCAGCGTCTTATTTAAAAAAAAATTATTAAGAAAGCTCCTATCAGATAAAGGCTTCAGAGTTTCAATAAGATCCTGTTTAGGGGTGATTTTCCAGCTGGATTGGTTCAAATGGAACATCCTGAAAGTTAATTTTGGCACAGGTATGAGATTTCAGTCAACATTTTTTCTCATAAAAATCTATGAAAGCAAGCCAAAGATAACTCTCCAAGTGTTACAGAAGAAGACTTCCACTGCTTATCATGCAAATGGTGCCAATGAAGTCTGGAGACAACCAGATAAATAAGAGTTGTGGGATTTCAGCTCCTACTAATCCATTTGTTCTTGTTTGTATCTCACCCTTTGTTCTTCAACATCTGAAATTTTGAAGTGAAAACTCTTCCTCTTCCCATTTCTCCTCTTCATGGTGTCTGGAGATGTCCTGATGGGTCTTTCTGCAGATGACTATGGTTCTAGGAAGTGGGGAGGGAAGCTCTGTTTGACTGGAGTTAATAATTAGATCTTACATAAACTTTTCTTAACCCCCTATACAATCTTGATATCTAATGAATATTTTGGAACCGTGTAGATTCTTAATAACACTGTGGTGATTAAACATGCTAAAGCATCATCTTGCATTCTACAGAAGTTAAATCTAAACCTCATCATTCTTTGAGAGGTAGATTAAATAATGAGGAGCTATGTAACCTCTAATCTAAATTTAGTGTTCTTTCTGTTCTTTTTGCCTCTTATTAACTATGGTATAATGCATGGAGTCCTATTTTAAACAAATTACACCATAGGTAAGGAAATTAATGAAGAGTACTTTTCCTTGCCTTTCTGTATGAAG